TAGCCTGGTCTATAGTGTTATATATAGTCTGATCTATAGTATGGACTATAGTCTGACTACAATCTGCTCTATAGTCCAGACTATAGTCTGATCTATAGTGTGGTCTATAGTCTGGACTATAGTGTGCCCTATATAGTCTAGTCTATAGTCTAGTCTATAGTCTAGTCTATAGTCTAGTCTATAGTCTAGTCTATAGTCTAGTCTATAGTCTAGTCTATAGTCTAGTCTATAGTCTAGTCTATAGTCTAGTCTATAGTCTAGTCTATAGTCTAGTCTATAGTCTAGTCTATAGTCTAGTCTATAGTCTAGTCTATAGTCCTAGTCTATAGTCTAGTCTATAGTCTAGTCTATAGTCTAGTCTAGTCTATAGTCTAGTCTATAGTCTAGTCTATAGTCTAGTCTATAGTCTAGTCTATAGTCTAGTCTATAGTCTAGTCTATAGTCTAGTCTATAGTCTAGTCTATAGTCTAGTCTATAGTCTAGTCTATAGTCTAGTCTATAGTCTAGTCTATAGTCTAGTCTATAGTCTAGTCTATAGTCTAGTCTATAGTCTAGTCTATAGTCTAGTCTATAGTCTAGTCTATAGTCTAGTCTATAGTCTAGTCTATAGTCTAGTCTATAGTCTAGTCTATAGTCTAGTCTATAGTCTAGTCTATAGTCTAGTCTATAGTCTAGTCTATAGTCTAGTCTATAGTCTAGTCTATAGTCTAGTCTATAGTCTAGTCTATAGTCTAGTCTATAGTCTAGTCTATAGTCTAGTCTATAGTCTAGTCTATAGTCTAGTCTATAGTCTAGTCTATAGTCTAGTCTATAGTCTAGTCTATAGTCTAGTCTATAGTCTAGTCTATAGTCTAGTCTATAGTCTAGTCTATAGTCTAGTCTATAGTCTAGTCTATAGTCTAGTCTATAGTCTAGTCTATAGTCTAGTCTATAGTCTAGTCTATAGTCTAGTCTATAGTCTAGTCTATAGTCTAGTATAGTCTAGTCTATAGTCTAGTCTATAGTCTAGTCTATAGTCTAGTCTATAGTCTAGTCTAGTATCTCTATAGTCTAGTCTATAGTCTAGTCTATAGTCTCTAGTCTATAGTCTAGTCTATAGTCGTCTAGTCTAGTCTATAGTCTAGTCTATAGTCTAGTCTATAGTCTAGTCTATAGTCTAGTCTATAGTCTAGTCTATAGTCTAGTCTATAGTCTAGTATAGTCTAGTCTAGTCTAGTCTATAGTCTAGTCTATAGTCTAGTCTATAGTCTATAGTCTAGTCTAGTCTAGTCTATAGTCTAGTCTATAGTCTAGTCTAGTCTAGTCAGTCTAGTCTATAGTCTAGTCTATAGTCTAGTCTATAGTCTAGTCTATAGTCTAGTCTATAGTCTAGTCTATAGTCTAGTCTATAGTCTAGTCTATAGTCTAGTCTATAGTCTAGTCTATAGTCTAGTCTATAGTCTAGTCTATAGTCTAGTCTATAGTCTAGTCTATAGTCTAGTCTATAGTCTAGTCTATAGTCTAGTCTATAGTCTAGTCTATAGTCTAGTCTATAGTCTAGTCTATAGTCTAGTCTATAGTCTAGTCTATAGTCTAGTCTATAGTCTAGTCTATAGTCTAGTCTATAGTCTAGTCTATAGTCTAGTCTATAGTCTAGTCTATAGTCTAGTCTATAGTCTAGTCTATAGTCTAGTCTATAGTCTAGTCTATAGTCTAGTCTATAGTCTAGTCTATAGTCTAGTCTATAGTCTAGTCTATAGTCTAGTCTATAGTCTAGTCTATAGTCTAGTCTATAGTCTAGTCTATAGTCTAGTCTATAGTCTAGTCTATAGTCTAGTCTATAGTCTAGTCTAAGTCTAGTCTATAGTCTAGTCTATAGTCTAGTCTATAGTCTAGTCTATAGTCTATAGTCTAGTCTATAGTCTAGTCTATAGTCTAGTCTATAGTCTAGTCTATAGTCTAGTCTATAGTCTAGTCTATAGTCTAGTCTATAGTCTAGTCTATAGTCTAGTCTATAGTCTAGTCTATAGTCTAGTCTATAGTCTTCTATAGTCTAGTCTATAGTCTAGTCTATAGTCTAGTCTATAGTCTAGTCTATAGTCTAGTCTATAGTCTAGTCTATAGTCTAATATATAGTCTAGTCTATAGTCTAGTCTATAGTCTATTCTATAGCTTAGTCTATTGTCTAGTCTATAGTCTAGTCTATAGTCTAGTCTATAGTCTAGTCTATAGTCTAGTCTATAGTCTAGTCTATAGTCTAGTCTATAGTCTAGTCTATAGTCTAGTCTATAGTCTAGTCTATAGTCTAGTCTATAGTCTAGTCTATAGTCTAGTCTATAGTCTAGTCTATAGTCTAGTCTATAGTCTAGTCTATAGTCTAGTCTATAGTCTGTCTATAGTCTAGTCTACAGTCTAGTTTATAGTCTAGTCTATAGTCTAGTCTATAGTCTAGTCTAGTCAAGTCTAGTTTAGTCTAGTCTATAGTCTAGTCTATAGTCTAGTCTATATATAGTCTTGTCAATAGTCAAATCTTTTTTCTTGCCTTTAGTCTAGTCTATAGTCGAGTGTATAGTCTACTCTTTAGTCTAGTCTATATTGTAGTGTATAGTCTAGTCTCTAGTCTAGCGTATAGTCTGGTTTTTAGTCTAGTCTATAGTCTTGTCTCTAGTCCAGTTTATAGTCTAGTATATGATTTAGTTTATGGTCTTGACTATGGTCTAACATTTATCCCATTTTAAAGGTTAATATCTCTCCTCTTTAATTTCCGATTGGGTGAGGTTTTTGGTGCGTTTGAACGAACGCGTTTTCGGCACCAGCCTTAAAAACAGCACATTTTTCTCCAACTTCAAAGCAGATTTTTTGAGTTTCAACATTTTTTATTGTTTTTATAATTGTACATTTTAAAAAACAATTTAAAAGCTCACAATTTTGGTTATAATTTTAACGCATTATAAATTATACATTTTTTTAATATTTCTGTAATTTACGACCAGGTTTTTGTTTAAACATTTCTTAATAACTCTTTTTCTGTTGGTTTTAGTATTTTATTTACATAAATTTTTTGTATTCTCAAGTATTTTTTTTTTTGTTTTAAAAGTGGGTGTAGTTTTCTGTTGAAGTACATTTTTTTTTGTTTCTCGCATTTTTGTTTTGTTTAAAAAATTTGCATAAATGCGTAGTTTAAATAAATTATGCAGAACTTAAGTAATTTTCATACACACGAAACGTACAATCTTGTAAGTGGAAGAAATAGCTCTGTCCCTTCTTTGTTTTGTTGCAGAGAAAAAAAATTGAAAAAATACCAAAAAAAAAGTTTAGCTAAAATAAATGAGCTTTCAAGATGTGTTATGACAGCTGTCACAGTTTGAGATTTAATTATCATTTGACCATAAATTAACAGGGAAACACCTACGCAATTGACAACTAAAGATACATAAAGAAAAAGTTTAAAACTGAAGTTAAAGTACAATTTTGAAATATTTGAATAAAGCTTAAAAAGCTCACTTAAATATGCCACATACTTCAAAAAGATTGTTTTATTTATTATGAAAGCTTTTGGAAATTTAAGTAATCTTTATGGTATTTAAGGTAAAAATGTTTGGATTTTTACAAAAGCTCTATGAAAGCTTTCGCTATTTTCAGAACATAAAAGAGAAAATAAATTGCTTGTTGTGATCAAACATGAAATATAAACTCATAACCCTTAAAAGTTAAAGTTTTAGTTAAAAGCTAAAACAAAGTTAAAAGCTTTCAAAAAGCTTTTTCCTATTTTTGTACTAAATCAATAACAAAACCGCCCTAGTCGCAATTTTTCATTAAAAATCTATTGTAACACTTTAAACATACTTTTTTTGTAAAAGCTCTTCAAAAGCTTTTTTAACAATTAAGTGCTTTGTTTTAAAAAATTTTAAAAATAAAGTTATTTTACGTATTCCTTAAGAAATTTATTAAAGTTTACACAAAATATAGCTTTTAACAAAAATTTTTATAAAAACTCTTATAAAGCTTTTAGCTATTCAAGTGTTTTTTTCGAAAATATTTAAGAAACAAGTAAAAAAACTTTGTTTTAACAGCGAATATCGTTTATGACCTCTAAGAATATACTTTTTTATAAAAGCTCTCAAAAAGCTTTTTGTCATATTGAGTCTTTAACGTTAGATTTTTACTCAGCAATAATTTATTTTAGGTTTTATATCTTTTAAATTAGTTTTTATAATTAAATTAAAGCTTTTGGGCAAAAGCTCTCCAAAAGCTTTTTCACAAATTTTCAAGAAATAAATTAAGAATATCGCTTTAGCATCAAACGTAAAAAGAACGTGTCTAACCTTTAGGTAAATAAATTTCTATAAAAGCTTTCGTTGTTTTTAAGTGTTTAACAGTGGCTTTCTATACAAAATACGTTTATTTTAGTTTTATAATCTTAAATTAGTAATTAATTTGAATTTTTGTCAAAAGCTCATCAAAAGCTTTTTCAAAAATTTTCAAGAAATAAAGGAAACTCAGGTTTTCACCTCAAATATTATAGGAAACTTGCTTAAACTCTAAGAAAATACATTTTTATAAAAGCTTTCCAAAAGCTTTACTGTTTTTTAATTACTTAAAGTTGGCTTTTATATTTAAAGACCATTTATTTTATTTTTATCCTTTCAAAAGCTTTTTTCACAAGCTTTTTTTAGATTAAATTTTTGTAGTTTTTGAAAAAGCTCTCCGAAAGCTTTTCAAAAATTTAAAAAAATTTAATGGAAATTCTGTTTTTGTCATCAAATATTATAAGAGACTTGTCTATACTTAAAGAAAATAATTTTGTATAAAAGCTTTCAAAAAGATTTTTGGTTAGTTTAAAAAAAGCTCTCCAAAAGCTTTTTAAAAATTTGTCTTTAAACAAAGAAACAGCTGTTTTTGACATTTAATATTATAAGAAACTTGTTTATACTTTACAAAAAAATAATTTTATACAAAAGCTTTCGAGAAGCTTTTTTTTAATTTTTTATTTAATTTTTATATTTTGTTCGACTTTTCAGGTCCTTACTTTCCTCATAGATTCCTCACGTTTTCGTTATCCCGAAAGAGCTATAGTCTTTTTAGCAGTTTGCTATTTGGTGGTGGGTTGTGCTTATGTAGCCGGTTTAGGAGCCGGTGATTCAGTATCCTGTCGCGAACCATTTCCACCACCAGTTAGACTGGGTAGATTACAAATGATGACCACTATAACACAAGTAAGTTGTAGATATTTATAAAATTTGTTCATTAATTTAAGATTTTTTTTTCTTTTCTTCAAACTTATTTTTCTATTATTTTAGGGTCATCGCCAGTCAACCGCCTGTACTGTACTTTTTATGGCTTTATATTTTTGCTGTATGGCGGCCTTTGCCTGGTGGTCATGTTTGGCATTTGCTTGGTTTTTGGCTGCTGGTCTCAAATGGGGTCACGAAGCCATTGAAAATAAATCACATCTTTTTCATCTTGTAGCCTGGGCTATACCAGCTCTGCAAACGATTTCGGTTTTGGCATTAGCTAAAGTTGAAGGTGAGTAATAATTATAAGAAACAACAGAACAATGGAAATAAGAAATACATCTTTAAATAGTAAAACCATAAATTTTCAACTGACATTTAAGCCACACACCAGGGTTAAAAGGAAAAAGAATATAAAAAAATTTTAATTTAACACTTTTTTCCCTAACACAAGTTTTTCTTACATATGAACTATTACTGCAAGTACTAGTTGGTGGTACGTAGTCTTTGCTTTTAGTTAGTTTACGGCTAAACTACAAAAATAGTTGTTGTAAACGTGACTAGAATTTGTTAAATTCTCACGTCTTTTTGTATTTGTTTTGTTTAGTTTTCATTTAAAATAAAAACTTAAAAAAAAAAACACTAAAGGAAATTAGGGGAAATGTGTTTAAACAAAAGGGGGAAAAAGTGATTCATATAATAAATATTTGTTTTTTTGAATCTAGTGTTAAAAAAATTTATTTGTTTACTATAAAGTGTTTTTAAATAATTTTTGTTTAATAACAAATCACTCATTATTAATTCTCAATATTATGTCTAAAAAAGCGTGACGAATTTTTAATTTTTTTTTCAACCTCAACATTCTTTTTAAACAATATTCTTTAAAAACTTTAACGACAAAAAAATATTTGCATAATTATTTAACATTTTCGTGAAAACTGCCCCCCCTTCTATTCCACCAACTGTAAGTAAGTACTCCTACACTGAGCTTTTTTCGTTTAATATCTTTTCGTACTTTTTTGGTCTTTTGTCTTATTTTTTGCTTTTGTACTTTATTATTTACTTACTTTATTAATATAGCTGGCTGGCAGTTTTTTTTTAGCAGGAATTTTGACGTTGTCAGTAAATGTGATTTGAATAAAATTTTAATAAATGAAGACTTTAACGAGAAAAGCGACTACATGAAGTAATACTTTGTATTTAAAAAAAAAAATTAAAAAAATAACTTGAAAAAAAAAAAACACTCCAAAAATCTAAATACTCGATTATAGTCTAGATTAGACTAGACCATAATAATACACTAGACTATACATGGACTACAAACTATACTATACACTAAACTGTAGACTGCTAAATAGACTAAATTTTTCACTCGGCTATATACTAGACTGTAGAATAAACTATAGATTGGACTATAGCTGACTATAGACAAAACTGTAGACTAGATTGTAGAATGAACATAGTTTAGACTATAGACTAGTATATAGGATAGACTATAGAATACATTAAAGAATAGACTATAGATTAGGCTATAGACTAGACTATAGACTAGACTATAGACTAGACTATAGACTAGATATAGACTAGACTATAGACTAGACTATAGACTAGACCTATAGACTATAGACTAGACTACTAGACTAGACTATAGACTAGACTATAGACTAGACTATAGACTAGACTATAGACTAGACTATAGACTAGACTATAGACTAGACTATAGACTAGACTATAGACTAGACTATAGACTAGATATAGACTAGACTATAGACTAGACTATAGACTAGACTATAGACTAGACTATAGACTAGACTATAGACTAGACTATAGACTAGACTATAGACTAGACTATAGACTAGACTATAGACTAGACTATAGACTAGACTATAGACTAGACTATAGACTAGACTATAGACTAGACTATAGACTAGACTATAGACTAGACTATAGACTAGACTATAGACTAGACTATACTAGACTATAGACTAGACTAGACTATAGACTATGACTAGACTATAGACTAGACTATAGACTAGACTTAGACCTACTATAGACTAGACTATAGACTAAACTATAGACTAGACTATAGACTAGACTATAGACTAGAACTATAGACTAGTCTATAGACTAGACTATAGACTATGGACTAGACTATAGACTATGACTAGACTATAGCTAGACATAGACTAGACTATAGACTAGACTATAGACTAGACTATAGACTAGACTATAGACTAGACTATAGACTAGACTATAGACTAGACTATAGATTAGACTATAGACTAGACTATAGACTAGACTATACACTAGACTATAGACTAGACTATAGACTAGACTATAGACTAGACTATAGACTAGACTATAGACAGACTATAGACTAGACTATAGACTAACTAACTAGACTTAGACTATAGACTAGACTATAGACTAGACTATAGACTATATAGCTAGACTATAGACTAGACTATAGACTAGACTATAGACTAGACTATAGACTAGACTATAGACTAGACTATAGACTAGACTATAGACTAGACTATAGACTAGACTATAGACTAGACTATAGACTAGACTATAGACTAGACTATAGACTAGACTATAGACTAGACTATAGACTAGACTATAGACTAGACTATAGACTAGACTAGACTATAGACTAGACTATAGACTAGACTATAGACTAGACTATAGACTAGACTATAGACTAGACTATAGACTAGACTATAGACTAGACTATAGACTAGACTATAGACTAGACTATAGACTAGACTAGACTAGACTATAGACTAGACTATAGACTAGACTATAGACTAGACTAGACTATAGACTAGACTATATACTAGACTAGACCATATACTTTAAATTTGTCTATAAATTTTTTAGCTTTTAAGAATGTGAGGGTGTCTGTAAAGGGTAGGAAGTCATCTTTTTTTAATCCTCTTATTTTGTTAAAACTTCAATATTTGGTCTCAAATTCCATTTTATTTAATTCTAATAGCATTTTATTTTATTAATTTTAACATGATGATGATTCCCACCACCACTTTAGACAATTGAAATCTTACAGACAGCTAGACAATAGCAACCAGCCAACAGCATCCCAAATTTTCAGAATATTTTTGAAAAGATAATGGAAATTTTTTTTTTTCTTATAACTACATTTATGAATCAATTTATTTTAGAGCGAAAAGAAAAATATTAAGACGAAACAAAAGGGTGTCTTAAAACTTATGAAGGAAATACAACATACAGAACGGAAACTACTAGCTACGACCATTTCTTTGCTTAGAAAAAATTGACTTTGACAAAAAAGATTATTAGAACAACTTGTGTATGTTTAATCTATTGTATTTGATCAAGCATTTTTTAGGGCAGTGTGGCGAAGGGGGGACGAACAAATAAATCCCCGGGAACAAAGACTTTATTTTGCAAATAATAAAGTGCATTGAGCATAAGTAACTTAAGATGTGTGTTTGTAAATGTACTATTGCGTAGAGGGGGTGGTGTAGAAAATCAATTGAATAGAAAAGAAAATTTGTTTCAATTGATTTTACCGGAAATGAGGGCAATGTATTTTTTTCTATAGAAAATCTTATAAAAGACAAATACAAGTATTTAAGTGGTTTACAATAATAAATGAAAACAAAAGCTTTAGGTTTAATAACCCTATAGTAAGTTAATCTACGTTTAAACAAGTTTTTTTCTATAAGATTTAGTTTAAATGTTTTTTGAATAGATTTCCTTTTAAAGCAATTTTCGCTGTTAATTTTTAGTGTTTTGCAGTTAAGCCTTGGGGTTTATTTTCAAAAATACATATTACAAAATGTATGTTTTCGCAAATGTTGTACTTTTTTTGCGAAATGTGCGTAGAAATATTAAACTGTCAGGAAATGTTAACAAAATGTTTCGCAAAAAAAGTTTATCTTTAATGGACTTTTTTTGTGTAAAAAAAATATTATAGACATCTTAACAAATCTTGAAGGCATATTCCTTTTAAACTCATTTACATAAACATCAACACAGTGAAGCAAAAAAGTAATCGTACACAAATAATATTGTTGAGAAAAATTTGTATAAACTATAGACTAGACTATAGACAAGGCTATAGACTAGACTATAGAGTAGACTATAGACTAGACTATAGACTAGACTATGGACTAGACTATAGACTAGACTATAGACTAGACTATAGACTAGACTATAGACTAGACTATAGATTAGACTATAGACTAGACTATAGACTAGACTGTAGACTAGACTATAGACTAGACTATAGACTAGACTATAGAGTAGACTATAGACTAGACTATAGACTAGACTATAGACTAGACTATAGACTAGACTATAGACTAGACTATAGACTAGACTATAGACTAGACTATAGACTAGACTATAGACTAGACTATAGACTAGACTATAGACTAGACTATAGACTAGACTATAGACTAGACTATAGACTAGACTATAGACTAGACTATAGACTAGACTATAGACTAGACTATAGACTAGACTATAGACTAGACTATAGACTAGACTAGACTAAGACTATAGACTAGACTAGACTAGACTAGACTATAGACTAGGCTAGAAGACTAGACTATAGACTAGACTATAGACTAGACTATAGACTAGACTATTAGACTAGACTATAGACTAGACTATAGACTAGACTATAGACTAGACTATAGACTAGACTATGACTAGACTATAGACTAGACTATAGACTAGACTATAGACTAGAACTATAGACTAGACTATAGACTAGACTATAGACTAGACTATAGACTAGACTATAGACTAGACTATAGACTAGACTATAGACTAGACTGAATAGACTAGACTATAGACTAGACTATATACTATAGACTATAGACTAGAGCTATAGACTAGACTATAGACTAGACTATAGACTAACTATAGACTAGACTATAGACTAGACTATAGACTAGACTATGACATAGACTATAGACTAGACTAGACTATAGACTAGACTATAGACTAGACTATAGACTACTAGACTATACTAGACTAGACTATACACTAGACTATAGACTAGGACTAGACTATAGACTATAGACTAGACTTTAGTCAAGACTATAGACTAGACTTTAGTTCAGACTATAAACTAGACTTTAGTCCAGACTATAGACTAGACTTTAGTCCAGACTATGAACTAGACTTTAGTCCAGACTATGAACTAGACTTTAGTCCAGACTATAGACTAGAATATAATCTAAAATATGGTCCAGACTGTAATCTAGACTATAATCTAGATTATAATCCAGACTATAGTCCAGACTTTGTTCAGACTATGGGCCAGACTATGGTCAGACTATTGTCCAGACTTTAGTCCCTACGGTAGTCCAGAGTGTAAGCCAG